ACAAATGTTAACCAAAGCAGAGAAAATTCCTGAAAAACAAGGAAAATAAAAATAAATACCAATGTCCTAAAAGAAATTTAAATACTAGTTAATAACTTTCAATTCTTCCAATTCCACTAAACAGAAAATAATGCCTATCATTACTCCTTAAACTAAACCTATGGTACATAGAGAACAAAAGCAATTAGTAAACTGTAAAACAACTTTTGTTTTATAGAGTTAACTAATAAGATCATGTTTGTTTACATTAGTATGGGCATACCAATAACTTTTAATATTTTTTTAAATGTCATGTTATAATAAAGATGTTCTATCTCTAGAATTACAGGTGGTCATTCAATGAGCAGTTGTACAAAGAGAAATGTAGCAGGAAGTGCTGGTTAAACAGTAGTCAAAGCAACCTCTTCAAAGCCACAATAAAAAAGGTAATTTAACAAACATTTATTAAGAATTACCTACTAGAAACTAAGTTCCCCTCTCTGTGCTAGATGCTGAGAATGCAAAGACACTAACAATAGCTCAAAGGATTTACAATCTAGTAAGGCAAACAGACTTGTAAGAAACTATAAGTCAAGGCAAAGTACCAAAAATGTAAAAGTGCCCCGTGAGGCAGAATGAGCGCTAGTCAGACTAGAGAGATGAAGAAAGCTGCCTTAAGAAGTAACATTTCAGCCAAGCCCTGATGATTGGAAGGATTTTTCTGGGTAAGGAAAGGATGGTGGGAATGTAGGGGCTGAACATTCCAGAGCAAAGGAATAGAGTGAGCAAAGTCAAGTGCATGAATGCTTACAAGAATGAATGGCCTGGAATGTAATACATCATGTATTGGAAAACTACAGCAGAAGAAGAAGGCTGAAAATAAAATTTGAGGTCAGATCACTGACAAATCTCACTATAATCTCATTATGAAATTACAGTTTATTTGGGGGCCAGCCGAGAGGCTCACTTGGTTAAGAGCGCAAGCTCTGAGCCACAGGGTTGCCGGTTCAATTCCCACATGGGCCCGTGAGCTGCGCCCAAGCTGAGCTGCCACTGAGCTGCCAACAGGTGGCAGGATGGCTCAGCTGGTCAGAGCATGTGCTCTTAACAAGGTTGCTGGTTCAACTCCCTCATGGGATAGTGGGCTACAACAATCCACAACTAAGATTGAACATGGCACGTTGAGCTGAGTGGCAGTGAGCTGCCAACGGGCGGCCGGATGGAGACTGGACTTGGAGCTGAGCTAGTTGCATCCTCCACAACTAAGATTGAAGGACAACAACTTGGATGATCCCCTTCCCCAATTCCCCAACACTGTTCCCCTTCCCCAATTCCCCAATAAAATCTTTGAAAAAAAAAGAAAGAAATTGTAGCTTATTTGGTAGAAGCTGGAAAGCTCAAGCCACTCTTTGAGAAGAAGGCTCTTTGGGGAGTGAATAGTAACGTACCCTTATCCTCAACCTCTGAGGAAGGCCTCTCTGTTGGAGTGCCTGGGCTGGTGGCCCATTTTCACTGCCTACTTAGCTGTGGACTTCGCACTAGTTGCTTAATGTATTTGTGCTTTACTTTCCTCATTTCTAAATGAAAGTAGAATAGTACCAACTTCTTAAGGAGTGTCAGGAAAATTAAATGAGATAATACATATCAAGTGCCTAAAACAGCAGCTAGCATAAGCCCTCAGTGAATATAAGTTAAAAATACACATGATACCTACTTCAGCCCAGCACTGCAGACCTAATAAAACAATAAAAGTAGTTCCAAGAGAACGAAGCCCAGGAACCGTGTACTGTGGAGCTGATGAGATTAAAAAAGGGGCAACTGCAAAATTATCAGAGATCTATATAAGTAAAACAATGATCTATTACAGTGCTGAGTTCAGAAAGTTCCTTTTTCATTGCACCAGTTCATTAACAACTCCAGTTATTACTAAAAGTACTCATTAAAAGTAATCCAGTTATCATTATGAAAAAGAACCCATATGTGATGAATCAGCTTTTCACTCTTACAATGTCTAGAATATTATACTTTGACAATCAAACATAGCAAATTTAAATAACATGCTGGGCATTCTTGTCAAAACTATGTTAGCAGAATAACACAAAAGCAAAAACCTGTGATGTATGGGTCTTTGCAAGAGGAGAAGTGCATGCTTCTTGAAACTGATCTTCGTTAATTCCAATCTCTTTGAGATAACTTTCTAACAACTTTTCAACCTAAAAAGAGAAAGTTTAACTTTTATAATTTACATAGAAAAGTTCCAAATGACAGTTTTCATGTTAAGTATTGAGTTTAGAAAAGTATAAGCAAATGTTTGTTTGCAATTATTAATCTACATAAAATTATATTACATGGCAGTGACAATGTCTTTGATGGAAAAAAAAAACAAAAGTTAAAATTTTTGCAGTCAAATGAAATTTTATTTCCCCTACTAGAAATAACTAGTAGAGGATCACGTCAGGATTATGAAGTTAGATAAGGTACAATGCTTCTGCTACCCAGGGTCATTTTTAAATCACAAGATAACCATGACTAAATTAATAATTAATACTTCCCTGGATGCACAAGCAAAAGAATAAAATTTAAAGATTAGATGCAAGATCCCTTAACATGGTTGTCCTAAATCCATTCCTTAGATTCTAGAGTAGAAGACATAAGAAGTCTTAAGGATGAGAAACCTTGGAGTTTGATGCAACTGGTAGTACTATTAGGATAGACTGAACTTTTTAAAAGAATTTTACAGACAAATCCATTTTTTTTTATTTAGAAAAGCTAAAATTAGTATTATTCGAATTACCTTTGAAAATTAGTGAAAAAAAATACTCACTAGTTCTTTATATTCCTGATGAATTGCTGTATAGGTCAATTTGCTTTCTTCTTCATCATCAAAAACTAAATTTAAGGGAAAAAAATATCGCATGGTGTAAAAAAATAATTCGTTAATGCAAACATAAAAGTCCATTCCTTATATCTTACAAATGGATACTTGGATACATACTTACAAGTCAAAATATTTGTATGTGTATAAACACATATACATACTATATATATATGGTGTTAATTGTAAACAAGTTATTTTTCCTACTTAAGATCTTCATATGTAAGACAAACACTAATTTACTACATTGCAGTCAATAACGTAAGACAACAGTTTCTTTATAAACTTTTAATGGAATATTATTGTTAATAGTTTGTAAACATTAATTCCTTTTACAACAGGCTCCAGATTATTTTATTGTATTGGACCTTTGCTGATGCAAATTTTACTGAAAGTGACTAGGCCATTTTTATTACATATAAATCAATAATGAAGTTAAAATAAATAAAACCAACACAAATGTTTACTGAATGATCATATGTGTAAAACAATGTGGATTAGAAAGATATATATTCCCTCAAAAAGCTACAATCTAATTAGGAAAACAGGATAAATTCATGAATTGTATATAATAATCATTTTTTAATCCTCCTTGGATCATCTTTTAAAAATGCAAAACTAACTTCTGTAATTTTGGATTTAAAACTCTTCAATGACTGCTCTTTGCCTAGAGAATAAGTACAAGATCCTTAGAAGCCCAGATAAAACCCTCCAAGACTGGATCCCAAGCATCATATCCCACCACTCCAAAGCCCAAACTTTGCACTCTTAACAATACACAATTACTTGGAATAGCACCAAACAACACATGCGGTGTTTCAAATCCTCATCTCTTTGCTCAAGCCAGTCCTAGATCTTTTCGCCTTTATCTGGCCCCCTTTCTCCCAACCATTCTTCAAGACATTGTAAGTGGCACATTCTTCTTGATCTGTTTGTTACCCACTGACCTGTTTGTTACCCACTCCCAACTCCTAGGCTGGTTAGATCCCTTCCTCTGAACTCTTACAATACAGCACCATGTGACTACCTTTATTATAACACCTGCCACTTTACATTTAAATTACACTTACCTGCCTGTCTTCCCCACTAAATTATAAACTTCTCAAGCACAAACATTTTGTTTTATTCATCTTCCTATCCCCAGCTTCTAGCCCAAGGACACTCAATAAATGTTTGTTGAAATCAATGCTGATATTACAAAGTTGCACAAAACTAATCTTTAAATTATCTGAGGTGGACAACAGCACATTGACAACCCAAAGTCAGTGAAGTATAAACACTGTTATTTCAAGTGTCACTGGGAATGTTGCTTTGATTTCCTCTGGCATCTGCTCTACATAACACTAGGCTTACATGCAAAACAGAAGCTGTTTTCGGCTAAGTCTGAAACCAAATTACTACATTACATGTTTATGAGGTTGAGGATAACTACTTTCCTGTCAAATTACAAGTGTATTATTACTGAGATGCAACACTTTAGACATTTGGAGATAAAAATAAAAATGCTTTAATTTTTTTCTATTTCAGCATTTAGTCTCAGTAGGGTAAATGAAATTAAAAAGCGACATCATTTCTTTTTCTCCTAAAGAAGGTCAGAATTCCACATGCTTCATCAGTCTCATAGTAGCATTTTAAATTCTTAAAAAGAGTACAAATAAAAGTTACTTTGAATTTCTTTAAAAACTAACTGTAAAAACAATATATAATAAATACTATTTGAATTTTGATTATGGCAATGAGAATGTAATGAAAAGAGTCAGTACTGGGTCAAACCAAATTGCATTTCTACCAGAGTCAGGGTATCTTAGGGTTGAAAGGACTCTTAAAAGGTCATCCAGGATAACCAACCATTTGGTATTTGAATTCTCCTCTATAGCATCTCCATTAAATTGCTGTCAGAGCCATTCAAACGCTGCCAGTGCCTGGGGAACTCATTACCTTTTGAGGCAGTCTAACTTACCTGGGATATATTGTTATGAAGAACTTCCTTCATAGAAATTTGTTTCCCTGTAGCTTATACCCACTGATCCTAGCTCTATCCCACTGAACGTTACAAAAACAAGCCTAATCGCTCCAACATAAGTCAGAAGTTCAAATAATTCATGGATATTACTACCCTCAAAGACTTGGCTAAACAACCACAGTAACAGTTGGGCATTCATTTATATGGCATGGTTTCTGGTTCTTTTTCCGTAAATGGGCTCCAATTTGTCTCTAAGGATTGAAAGCAGAGTTCCAACGGTGAACTGATAAGAACTTGGAGGTGCCCTTCCGTCACAGGAATTATTATGCCACGTTTACACACCTCATTTGGTAGAAGATAGCCCCCAACCACCATCCATTTTTGGTACAGCTGAGAGTCAGTAAGTTAAATAAAGGGAACACAGGCCATTGGTATCAATGGTTCCGGGCCTGCAGGAGAGTATTCACATGCCCCTCTTTGCGGTCAACTCTTGGCATCAGTAGGAACTCAGAGGCAAACTGACGCCTCTCCTCCCAAGTCACTAGCGAAACTGTTGAAGAGGCCCACCTAAGCAGTGCACTTGCCCAGAGGATGGGGTGTGAGACCCAGCACAGGATTAATGCCTAATGTTTTTCGGATATGTGCTTGGACCCAGAGGTACGGGAGTCTCGGTCCCCTTTTTCTGTTCCATGAAGGGAAAAAAAAAAAAAGGCGCAGTGACAGCAGTATCTCCTACAAACCAGCTCTAAACCTGCCCGACAGAGGTGGAGACCCGGGAGATGAAGATGGTTTGTGGGGACCACCTCCCTGCCGTCTGCTGGTATAAGAGAAGCGAGAAGAGATTGTCCGTTCCGGATCTGCTTTTTACCTTCACATTTCTGCTCCACGAAGTCCAAGATGGGGATGGACCAGTCCGGGCCTCGCAGGAACCCGGCGATGCTCTCCACTACCCATTCTACCTCGTCCTCTTCTTCCGCAGCCATCCCGCCCCCGCGGAGCGCGGCGGAGCCTTAGGCCAGACTCCCGGAGCCTGCGAAGGCCTTCCGGCCGCAGGGAGCCTAGAGGGAATGGGCAAAGGGAAGAGTTGCCCCCGCAGTCGCCCCGCCACCTGGATGAAAGCTATAAACCAGTTAACGTAAAATGGTCGCTATGGCAACACTCGCAGCCGCCCGGGGCAGCCGCCCAGAAGTGATGCCAAATTCCCCGGAGCCTGCGCATTTTAGAGAGGGGCGTTTGAACAACGTTTCCGATTGGCTGGAAAATAACAGTGGCTCAAAAGATAGCCTCCTGCTCATTGGCCTGCCGTTGCTAAGGCTGAGCGTAGAAGTGTAGCCATTGGTTGGAAGTCCTAACAGAACTTTACGCGTTCCCCCTTCGGAGAGGTGCGTGGAACCCCTGGCGTAGAAATGGCTTGGTGAGTTTCACGTAGTGACCTTGACTCGGACTAAAAGGGCTTCAAAGGCTTCGAACCCAGCTAAGTGCCAATCATTTTCAACCCCGCTGGCTCAGAAGCGTTTGTAGTTCAAGAGTTGTTTGAAAATGCAAAGTTGAGCAAAGTAGCTCTGTAAAACTTGCTGATGTGGCTCTGCATCTTGTAGCTCCAGGCGGTTAGCCTTTCATGCATACGCGTAGATAGAAAAAAACTAGAATTAACTTTTCAAGGACAAAATAAAAGTTATTATTCATTTAAGTAAATGTTTTGCTTAAGCAAATCTTAGGTCACAAACCACCAAATCAACTGTTTGGATAAGGGTCCGTGGTCAAGATGCTTGGCGTCCCAGAGTATCTTCAAACATCCTTATATATTTACAAAAATAGTGTCATGTACAGTTACGGAACTTTTTTCACTTTCAGTATAGTCATAATTTCATATAAAACTCCTTTCTTTACAGCTGCATAGTATTCTGCATAACATTCCATTTTTATTTTGTGTATACACACTATCTTAATGTGGATGCGTAAATGTGATCATTAGTGTGCAGGGTTTTTTTCCCCACTATATTTGATGTGGGTGTATTCATTTTACCCTTCTAAAAATTGTTGAAATACACATTTTTGTGTCTCTTGAAACTGTTGTTTTTATTGACTATTCCAAAGGAGTAGATTCTAGTAGAATTGCTAAATGAAAGTACATATACCTTGATTTATTTGACCAATTCTCAATTGCTAGATTTAATTACTTCTAAACTCATTAACAATTATATAATGAGCGTATTTGCACATGTGTTTTTGAATATCAGTCTCATTTCCTTTTAATAAATTTCCAAAAGGAGAATTGCTGAGCCTGTTTTTTAAATCTTTTTGAAAAACATCTTTACCTATCTACTAGGTTAAAAATGATGCAAATTTTAATTTGCATTTTTAAATTTGAAGTTCTGCACCGTTTCATGTTGATTAGCCTTTGTGTTTCTTCCTATGTTAACGTTCATATCCTTTGACCATTTCTTATTGGCATTTTCTTTTTTTTTTCCTTAACGATTTGTAAGAGCTTTTTACACATTATAAGAATTTTAACCCTTTGTCACATGTTACAATGTCATGTTTGTTATTTGTCCTTTAATTTAGTTCAGCATGTCTTTTGCCACATAGAAGTTTTATATTTTCCATGTAGACTTTAAAAGGGTGGTAATAAGTACTTTTTTATTGGGTAGCCATGCCTGAAACACCATTTGCTTGAAATGGGTGTGGTAAAGTGTTGTGGCTTTTGAATTAACTGAGGCTAAAATAATGTGATATCAGAGATGGATTACTCTAGTTTATTGTTCTGTTTTTCTGTTTACTAAATCAGCTTAAAATGGAAATCCCACTTTTGTTCTGACAATTTCCTCTTTTCATAAAGCAGTTGCCTGTATGGTTTATAATGAGCCTAGAGGCCACAAAGTGCTCTTCAATTGCATTCAGCATTACTTGGCATTAGAGTCTTTATGTTCGGTCTCTTCCATGTGTTTTCCAGTTCCACTAGATGCAGATGATAACTGGGATTCACAAGCTCTCTTTTCATTTATTTCCTCAGCGTTGTTCCTGAATGGGAGCAATGTGGATTCCCTCAGGTCTGTAATGTCTCTCACTTATTTCAAAACATTTTATTATTTCAAATTTCTCCTCAAAAATTAAGGCTTTTCTTTTTACTCTGTACTTGGGATTCTTATAACCAGGATGCTTCTACAGGTTTAATATGATATAGTCAATATGCTTATCATGAAATAAACACAAACTCAAAAGAACAGTGCACATGCTCTTAGGGCAATGTATACGGGTACATTGGCGTAAGAGTAAGAAGATGAGGTGGGTGTGTGTTGTGTATTTTACCATAGGTCACTTTGTTCAGTCAGGTAGTATTTTTCATGTTTCACAGGAGTGTAGGTAGTCATCTCTTGAAAAATCACAACTTCTCATTTTTGCAATTTTATTGCTTTTTATCTGCTATGTGAACCAATTTCCATATTGAGGATATGTGTTGTAAAACAAGAGACTGAAGTAGACCCCTCACACACACACACTCACAAACATATATATGTCATATATATATAAAATATATATAATTATTACACATTATATATATACACATAACATTTCACACACACACACACACACACACACACACACACACACACACACACAGATATCTCCAGTACTTTTACCATAGGGTTGATAAGAGTTCTATTTAGAGAACACCTATAAAAAGTACTTGGGACCATGCTTGATAGTAAATACTCAATACATATTAACTATTATGATTATATGTAATCTAGGTGTTGTGTTTTTCTAACAACTTACTGCATGGGTATAAGAAACCATTCTCAGGCCAGCCGAGTGACTCAGAGGTTGAGTTGGCTTAAGAACACAAGCCCTGAGCAACAGGGCCACCAGTTCGATTCCCTCATGGGCCAGTTACTCTACGCCCAAGCTGAGCTGTTGCTGAGCTGCCAACAGGTGGCAGGATGGCTCAGCTGGTGTAACAACAAAATTGCCTGTTCAATGGTGGGCTACACCCACCCACAACTAAGACTGAACTCGGCACCTTGAGCTGAGCTGCTGCCCGGATGGCTCAGTGGATAGGGTGTGGGCTCTTAACAACAAGGCTGCTGGTTTGACTCCCACATGGGATGGTGCCTACACCCACCCGCAACAAAGATTGAACGCAGCACCTTGAGCTTAGAGGCCACGAGCTGCCAACGGGAAGCCAGATGGTAACTGGCACCCTCCAAAACAAAGATTGAAGAACAACAGCTTGGCTGGTCCCCTTCCCCAATCCCTAACACTGTTCCCCTCCCCCAAGTCCCCCAATAAAATCTTTAAAAAAAAAGAAAGAAAGAAAGAAACCATTCTCTTTATTTTGCCTCTCTCCTTTCACTGGCAAGCCATTTATGTTCTTTACTGCATTGCTACTGAAATCTGCTTTTCCCCATCCCCTGTATGGGAACTGAGCCTTACTAAAAGTTTAAAATGTTCAGTCTTAACAAGATGGCTACATTCCTCCAGGGTTTTCAGGGAACATATGAATAACAAATACATTTCTGTAGTGCTTTATAGCTTACAAAGGGATTTACATCTATTCGACTCAATGCAACCTTAAGAGCTTAGTAAAGATGGCATTAAGATTTTCCCCATCTTATAGATGGTGTATTAGTTTGTTAGGACTGCTGTAGCAAAGTACCATAGGCTGGGTGGCTAAAACAGCAGAATTTTATTTTCTCACAGTTCTGGAGACTAAGAAGTCTGAGATCAATGTGTCAGCATGTTTGGTTTCTTCCAAGGCCTCTCTCTCTCCTTGGCTTCTAGATGCCATCTTCATGCTGTGTCCACATGTTCTTCCCTCTTTATCCATATGTATCCAAATTTCCTCTTATAAAGACATCAGTTGAATATCAGAGTATATTACCCCCAAATATGCCACTTTGACATATTGATTGTTGGAGCTGAAGGCAGCTGGGAAGCAAGCAGCCACAGAAGGAGCTCTCTGCTCTCCCCCTGTCTGCATAAAAGCAAAGCATAAATTTCCCATGAGAAAGGTATTGTCCTTGTACCAGAAAGAGGAGGAAAGGAGAGCACTCTTATCACTGGAGATGAGGAGCCAATGCTGAAATGAGTCTGTGTGAATAGAGCTTACTAAAATAATCTTTATCTTCCATTAGAAGTATCTTAACACCTCCCCATATATTTCCTAGTCACTCACACAATTTATCAGCCCTAGGAGCCGAAATCCCCATTCCTTTGTCTAGTCACTTCACAATTTATCACCCATGGTTAAAATGATATGTAAGGCCCAACTCTATCTGCTCTTTGACTTTTTCACTCCTTTTTTGTGAAGCCTTCATACACATCAAAATTTTAATATTAATAAAATTGTACGCCTTCTCTCCTGTTATTCTGTCTTTTGTTAGTTTAATTCATAGGACCCAGGTACTAAACTTAAGAGGGTAAAGTTTTTTTCCTTCCCTACAATAGTCCTATTGGATTAGAGCCCACCCTAAAGACTTCAGTTTAACTTAATTATCCCTTTAAAGGCCTTATCTCCAAATACAGTCAAACTCTTAGGTACTAGGGGTTAGGACTACAACATATGAAATTGGGAGGACACATCATCCCATAACAGATGGGAAAACTGAGACTATGAGGTCAAGCTTTTTGCCCAGGGTCAAAGCAAACGTAGGGCTTGCACTTCCCTGTACTTGATACTTAATCAACAAGGTAACTTCCCATTTACATCACAGAAATTTTTCCATGTCATTCAAAACATTTCTACATGATCCTTTTTAATGCTTCCTAGTGTCTTAGCTCAGGCTGCTTTGACAGAATACCGTGTACTAGGTATCTTATAAACAACAAATTTATTTTTCACGGTTCTGGAGGCTGGGAAATCCAAGATCAAGGAGTCAGCAGATTTAGTGTCTGGTGAGAGCCCTCTTTCTGGTTCATAGAGTGCCATCTTCTCTCTGTGTTCTCTCAAGTCAACGAGGTAAGGGAGTCTCCAGGGTCTCTTTTATAAGGACACTAATCCTGTTTTATGAGGACTCCACCCTCAGGACCTAATTACCTACCAAAGGCCCCACCTCCTGATACCATCACATTGTGGGTTAGGATTTCAACGTAAGAATTTTAGGGGCACACAAACAATTCAGTCTATAGTACCTACTTTACCATTGTGAGAACATAACACTATTTAAATAAAGCCTGTTTTGATCTAGGCTGTTTCTTGCACTATTTTAAAAATAATTCTATAGTAAACATCCTGGTAACTAAATCTTTGCACCTAATCTTTACCATTCCTAAAAGCAGAATTACTAAATCACACAGTATGCAGTTTTTAAAGACAATTGTACCTATATTTTTTTTTTAGAGAAAGCATTGTGCATTCTGCAGTAATCATGGTTAAATGCTAAGTGAAAAAAATCCTTTTTATTATTGTTTTACATTCATGAGTCTATATATCCATACCCACAGACAAATATATCTCAGATAATTTGGAGATTGTTAATCAGAGGAGGAATAGAGAAATGACTTTCAGTTCCCCAGGAAGCAGACTTTCTAATTTCACAAATGTATCTCCAATTCCAACACCATGTTTGGCACTAAGAGACCCGTAATGAATATTTGATGAATATGTGAATGGAGATTTCAGTATATAGTGCCCCATATTTGCCTAAAAACAACCCATTTCTCTTTTCCGCCCCTGGGAAAGAGCGTAAAGGTGTGACTACTTGGCAGAGCAGATATTTTTTTTTAACTTTAACAAAACATGCTAGCATTCTAGATCAGATGGCTTGAAGTTATTATTAGCAACAGGCCTAAAAATACCAATTCAATTGAAGTGTCATTTTCATATATAATTTATACAACATATATAACATCACTAATGAAGCACCTAACTGCTGTTCCAAATGGTATGAATTCAGCTTTCAAGAAAAGAGTAAAAAGGTCATTCCTTTAATTCTATAAATTGCTTTTATTCGGGCTATAGCAAGACTTTTTAGAAGTTCTAAATTATAGGTTCTTTGCAAATGTACTTACTTGATCATTTGGTTTATATAACAGCAAAGGGAATGAGGAGGTTTTGGTGGGCTGGCAAGTAAATAATTACCTGCCACATCTTCAAGTTCTCCAATGAGGTTTTAGATTTTTTTTTTGCATTTGCAGATGTTGCATCACAGAATTTCCATTTTCTTTCGTATGTCTTTTGTTTTCTATTCCTCATAATCTGTAAAATATTCAGCAGCTTGATTTAAAATAGCAGCAAATAAATAACAAAACTGCAATGACTTTTCAAATTGTGGCTAGACACATTCATATGATGTAAAATACCATAGCTTAAAATCTTTTCCTTATTCGTTGAGTGCGTCCTATGTACCAAGCACTATTTTAGGTAGACACTGAAATAAAGAGCTCTGGATATGGCATTCTAAATTTCAACTTGCTGACAGCTTACTTTCACTTGATCTCTAAATATTCAGGGCATCTTTTGTGAATTATTTGTTTTCATTTCACTTTCCTTTATTATGTCTGTTTTCATTGTTTTATTTGTGTATGTGTAGATAATTTTCCTGTTTTACTTTCTTCTCTTCCTGTCTACCTTTTATTACCTACTAAGGTGATTCTTACATTTGCCTTCCATTATGCTTTCTCACTTGTTTTCCTGTGATTTTTTTCTTTTTCTTTTTAAATCCTTGTAACTACTGTATTGGTGACTTTGGGGAGGTTGAGTAATTTATAGAATATGTTTATACATGACTTAGATCTGCTTTTAGTTCTCTTAAAAGCATCTGTAGCCTATATTAATGGCCTTTACAATTTTTTGACCAAATACTTAATCAATAAAAAAATGTTTAATATTCCCCTTAATGTGTGAATATGTATTTACTAGTGAACTACATACATGTACATACACATATATGAATATAAACAGTTGTATAATACATAATACAACTTTTTACATAAGTTACAAAAGTAACTTTTTTTACATAAGTAACTTCTTACAAAATTTACATAATATAACTTTTTAAAAACTTGAAAAATTGAAATTAACAAAGGGTAAGATAAAAATACATAGATT